ACTGGAGTCTTAATAGGTGAGCATTTATCTTGTTGCAGTTCAGAGAAACTTTAACCGTGCGACCTTCATGTCTTTCGACAAAGGACAGGTTCGTAAACTGTACTGTGACGACCTTGCTGATAGCTGTATACTTATAGTGTTTGAATATTACTTGAAATTGTATTACTTGTCATCGCCCTCAACAAATGGAGTATTCCTGAATCATGCAAGTCATTTGACGAGCTATAGAGTTCACTTTAACGATAACACTAAGAGACGGGTTAGTAGCATGCCTATCACACACAAGTACACAATTTGTAGGATAAGGGAAATTGGTATAGTCAAATTTAAAATCAGTTTACATTTCCTATACGTTAATGAGTTGTATCGCTCTAGTAGTAAATGCAATTAATTTGGATTGATTGACTGGCGAGAAATTGCAGAAAAGCAGGATGTGAATGAAATGTAAGCATATGGGCTTACGTATTTGGCGCACTGTACGTGGTTCTATTTCTAACTCAGGTGACAAGCTCACTTTTCACCCATGTTCCATATCATCCTATGACGTCAATCTGCAAAGGCAGCACGAGTCAGAGATTGAAACGTGACTCAATGAACAGCAGTCTCAGTAGGTAGCTTATCCTTATCTTCTCTAGTATTTAACCAACAATATAAGCCCTTCTACTCAAAATGTAGATTGTTCATAGAATTAATCAAGATACAGCTGCCAGTTACAGGCTTTGTATTTTTTACATTTTGAATCATGATTACTTGCGAGTAGCGGCATGGGATGTGCACAATTGGAGTTTAATTGGCCATCCATCAGACTTCCTATGCATGTAAAACCGTGTTTATTCAGCTAACCAAACACTCGGACGTCACCAGGGTCTCCCTTCGTAACAGTTAGGCTTAAAAATGATCACATAGAAAACTGGGTCTGAAAAGACAGTTTGATAATTCTCGGTGTGGCCTGACTGTAACAGTGGCAAAAACGCCCTCTGTGCGAGGGGTTTGTGGTTCCAATTCTACATTACTAGATGGATATACGTTACCGATGAGCTTGAAAGAAGGAGACTCTGGAGTGAAGTACGTCTCAAGCAAGCATCGTCCAATTAGACATTGTGAGAGAAGACAGATTCAGGGAAATCATCAGTCACAGTCAGTTCAGTCTGATCTTTTCACTTGATATCAGTGCTTCGAATGTATTTTATTCACTCCTGGTCCGCTTATCTCCATGATTCTTGTGTTATAAATGCAAAACCTATAACAACGGTAGATTGCTAGGTGCTCACGAGTAACGATTGACACAAATAAAAGGTGAACAGACCATAGTCACAGATGCGAAGAAACCCCGAGTGTTATTTTTTATCTAATACGAATACCCAGAGAATTCTATTCCAGCCAGTTTTCCTTACTGCTCCCGTTTAATTTTGGCCGGTTTTCGCAGGAAAGACTTCGAAATTCTTCGCCATGGGCTATCAGTCGTGTTCTTCATACCCCTCGATGGACTGTTTCTAAAAATGTGTGAACTACAACAGAAATCATGAAATGACAAAGAAAATGTTTTCCGACGCCACTCATCTTCTATACGTCGATCTATCCAAGTATCACTCTCAAGCTCCAACAAGTTACATATCGTTTCTGGCTTTTCCAGATAAACACCTGCAGAAACTCTGCAATTTCATGACTTGATCGAATCCTCACAAACCGTGTGCTGCGTTCTGTTCAATTTCTCAGAAACCTTAAAAGATTAGTTTTTTTGACGATTATTAATTACTTTGTTGATTAGATGAAGCGTAGATTTTAGCTGAAATATGGTCGTTTGTCTAAGCTAGAATATAAACCAATAAAAATTGCGGGGGAAATGTTAGGACAAAGTAAAGGAGAATAGAACATAAACAGTGCTCATCGACTTACTGATGCTACTTCAAGAGAACAATCCTATAACGTACCATTTGTACAGTTTTGAAAGATGCACACCAGGACCGGTAATCAATCAATGACAAGCGTCTATCCGCCTGATTAGCACATACCACCCAAGTGTGTGATCTGTCAAAAAGTTGGTCCCATACAAAGCTAGCTATGGTTGCTCTGAATATACCGTCGGAAATGAACAAACCTACCGCACGAGGTACTACTCTACATTGACATGAACAAAAGCTGATAAAATTGAAACGAGTATTCTCTTCCAATACTTAAGTACCTATTTCCAATAGTTGGCATACTCATCGGACAAATTATTTCACTAAGCATCGGTAAGTCCTGAGAATGGTCGTCGTGTATAATGGGGAACGGCGGACAAACGTGCACTGATCAAATTCCAAATACCCGGTCAAGCGCACGTTAGATTATATACAATTAATTCTTGATCGCAAATCAGGATGGTGCCCAGTTCAGATTTTTGGCATATCGTTGACCGTTCTGCTAGATCTCAGTGGCACGCCTCATCTTCTGGTGGCTGTTCCTGCTGGGTCGATTCGATCGTTGTGAACGATAAACCAACCGATCGATGGTTCTGCGGTTGCGTTATCTTAGCATTGTCTTTATGGTCAGCTGTAGATCGTCATCTCGGGCATGTTTTCGTCCTCTAGTTCTGTGTGCCTCGCTGCAGAGTGCGCTCTTCTTCCTCCGATTGATTGTTATCTCTCTCCGTTGATTACCTCGCACCACAATCATATCGGGGAAGAAGACAGACACGCCGGTATCCACTCGGTATTACAGTACAAAAGAAAGTGAATTTAGTTAGATGGATGTCTGTGAGGGGATGTGAAATCAATATGGCTGACCAAGCATATGAGCAGGATTTCTCAACGAGAGAAATGCCGAAGAATTATGCAAGTGAAAGCAAAACCTAGAACCACTATACCAAGTCCTGTCGTCCCACAAGTAGCATTCGACTATGAAAAGACCGGGACCGCATTCTCAAAGAAAAAATTCCGATCAGTACTGGAGATACCATTCGGGACTACACTCTCAAGATTGGGATTCGAATCGTCCATGAGGCATACTTATTCTCATATGTAAGAAAGTCCCGTAAAAGTCATTCCTGTGCTAGGAATAATCTCACCTCGAAAAAATCAATTCAAGAAAAGTATTCGCTCTTCTAGGGAATATTTGACCTACTGACTTATAGGGTAAAACACAAGTGGATATCTAGAAAAAACGAAAGGAGCAAACAGAAATTACAGCTAGTTTGAGACTTAAGTAAGCCGCTATTCTTTCAGTTGTCGGCATCAAGCTAAAGAAAATAATTAATGAAAAGTAACGTGCCGTCAAGACCGGCACAAGGTTTAGTATCCCTTGGATAGAACTTCAACCATCTGCGTGCATCCAATACAGTGTTACCAAGTGCGGTACGCAGTTGAGCTAGGAGTGTCGGATGTACTTCAGTCATAGCAACTAACTTTGGAGGCAAAGTCTGCATCAAAAAGCCACTCTTTAAGCAGTTCGCACCACTTGAGCTGACTGTCAAACATAATTGTGAAAATTACTTCAGGTGGAGAGTATTAACACGTTACAAGTACGCTTCCATCTGAACTCATACGGATCCTGTAAAAATTGTCGACATGATGGACCAGAGATACTTATCGAAATTTAGCAGTACGATCGCCGGGTTGAGTTGGTGCGACCGGGGCAAGGGGACAGAAAGCGACAGACTGGAAATGCCTATGCCAACTACCTCGAATCAGATGGAGATCCTTATGGAAACGTGAACAACCTGGTTCCTCTTTAGATGGACGGATGAGGGAGGGTGAGAAGTTTCCCGCGATGGATAAAAATGGCCAGACTCGATAGAAAACCCAACGATTTTCTACTTATTTATATGTATGTAGGCATGTATATGTATAATTGTGTGAGTGAATGTGTGTGGATGCATTCTCATTACAATTCAAAAATGTGGTCCAAATTCCGATAGAGGGAGTAGATGTTTATGGGGGAAAATGAACGAACATGGTTAGGGTAATGAGTGAGCAAGTAGGTTCGAATGGGGACGGCGGGGAAGAAAATTTGAACTGCGAAATAAAACATAGACCAAGATTGACTGCCTGACTGTTCAACGGACCGACCGGCCGAACGAGTGAGTAGATGTGTGAACGTAAGTGCAGTGGGCAACAGGTCTGTGTCTAGGATGTACAAACAGCCGCACCTATGAATGCACGCACGCATACACAAGTCGAACGACCGGACTGGAGAAACGAATCCGCGGATCGATGAAGAGATGAAGGACAGACGGGAATTGCGATAGAACAACGACAAACAGACAGGCGTAAACACATGCATACAGACAAACAGGCCAAAAAAACGAAGCGTGGAACAAGTGAGAGATCACCACCACCACCATGCACTCCAGGTTGAATCATGTAGAAAACTTGACCATATTAAACATCAAACGTGGAAGAGCTACGAGACCGCGACAAACAAGATTATTGAGTTGAATAGGACGAATAACGCGGAATCGTTGGGGGGGGGATCAGTAAACTAGGTTGACGGATGTAAAAGAGAAAGATCGAGAACACACGGTGTTGTAAGATGTATTGTAACAACAGTATCCCACAAGCAGAAACGTACAAGACAGCATCAGGACGCTTCCGAGAATTGCGGGAAAGGGATGGAGGGGATATGTTCAAAACTAGTATCCTTCATCCCCGCAAATTAGGGGTGGCAGTTAGAGTTGCACGGGCTATCGTAAATGCATAGCACACCGGGGCTGATGATGTCCGCGCCAGGGAGCAAGATGGTGAGGAAAAAAACAACTAAGTTAGACCACAGATGACAACCGCCACGAATGATCCATGTCAAATTCACTTTCAGGTTTAAATCAACCCAACAATACCGTATGGACAGCACGTGGCTAGTTGAACTTACTCCACAAGATCATAGAGACTGGATTGTACCAAGTTTCAGAAAACATGTCGTGGATATGTGTGCGCTGTGGTGAGATGGATCCGTCAAATCGGTGACGGTAGTGGTAAAAAGTGACGAGAAAGTGATGATTTTAAGGATGATGTAGGAACACGGAATCAGGAATGGGACGAGGGAAGTCGGGCGCCCAAATTCAATGGTGGCAATCCTGCACTGGCGAATGCGGCTGCGGCCGCTGCTGCTGCAGCAGCAGCTGCGGCTGCAGCAGTTTGTTGTGATTGTGGTTGTTGAGCTTGATGATGTTGCTGCTGTGTGTGGGGAAGTGACGGATTGCATGATCTCATGTTGGCCTGTTGGAAACGCTGTCGTTCAAGAAGTTCATTCTCGCGAGACATGAACGGATTATTTGGTTCCATCGACGCCGGGTTAGCTGCATGGGCCGCAGCCGCAGCAAGCACGAGAGCGTTCAGCATGGCAGGGTCCTATCACGGGTAGAGATAAACAGAAAGTCAACGAACCCAAGAGGAACTATCAGAGAAGTGAACACCAAACACAACGGAAATGATCCAGTGGGAGTAAAAATTGTAGGCAGATATACTTATGATCACTTGGATCTTTAATTACATCATCTCAGGCGATTGTTCAGTTAACGGTATTCTGAAAAAGTATTCAGGGAAGTCGTTTTGTTTGGGAACCGTATCAGCCTCATCAAGATTAAAATAGTATGTGATGACCCGGATGATAGCACTGGTACTCGTTAGCAAGTGAAGACTTATGCGTACTGATCTGTTAAAATGCAATATAATGCATGAAAGTAAAAATCACTGTGGGGTGAAAATAACTCGAGGCATACCAGTTATTTGCCGATCATAGAAAACGCCAATAAGAATTCCTATATAAAGACCAATTAACCGAGGAACGGGGGGGGGGGGGNGGGGAAGCGATACAGAGTGAAAGAGAGTAAAGTTAACTTGCAGGTAATTGTGCCTTGTTCGAATCTCTGATCACGTTTTGACCATTCTTATTATAAAACCGTTCATGAGAATAACATGAGTGTGGATGTTCGCAGAACCCAATATCAATATGTCATTCCCGCGGTCAAGGAGTGTTTGAATATCAATCGAGCACGGATACTCTGTGTGCATTGAACTTACCAGTTATTCCAGAGTACATACTCAGTCGAGACCAATTGACAAATCGGAATAGATGAATGAGGTCAAAATTGATACATATGTTTGATGACATTGGAACAAACGCAGAACCCCACAAAACAAAGAAAGAAATCTCATCATCTGATCTGCACACATAATCTTGATAACAATTGTTTCCCGTCTGTTATTAGCATACACTCAATAGAATACGCAGTGAACCTTCACAAATAGAATTCATGGCAGCGACGTGATCGCAAGGATTGCCAACAAGATGGTCAATATTTGTGACGAAACGGCCACCATTGGAGTTACACGCCAGTTAAAAACAAAGAAATTGATTTTGATTTATCCAATAATTTAGAACCCTAATTCTTCAAGCTGTCCAAAGCCTACCCCTTCAAGTTAGTGCTCCGAAAATGCCGCCTGGAAAATTAGCGTTACTTTTTGGCGTCACTCTGTGCATCATGTTGCTTATGTTTCAACAGTTTACTCTTTCGAGCTGAAACTTGATGAATCTGAATCTGCGCTACACGTTGGAATAAAGTTACATGATTTGACAGAAAAAGGATGACGTTAAGCTGCGCTGAGCAGCAGTAATTTTCTCAACAGTGAGGCAGATCTGTCGTTGGAGGGTTCAAGCTTATGATCGATGCACTGAAAGTCCTGATTAGCAATGATAATCGCCGAAATGTACTCTGATACACCAGTCATGCGATAAGTAAACAAAAAAAGTGCCAATTCCAGTAATTCAATGTGAACAGCTTAGACCTCAAAAACCCATTAAAGACTCCAACCCAAATAAATGCACGTAAAAGCACAAGTGACTCACTTGCAGAGAAAATCCCTGAGCAAAACCCGCGGCTGCAGACTGCTGGGCAAGCTGAGCGAATTGGGCCAATTGGGATGGCGATGGCACATTTGGGGGAGGAGCCGGAGCTGGCGGCATGGTGGAAGGTGCATTAAATCGGTTACCCGGGCAGGACAAAGGTGAGTTGAGCGAGGACCACGGATTAAGACGATGTCCGCCACCTGGGCCAGATGGCATTGGGTTCGGCACCATAAGTCCACCACCAGGAGAAGAGACATTGGCAGAGGAGCAAGTAAGTGGAGTTGCGGAAGGCACAGAACGTCGACGGTCTCCGGTGTGTGACAGAGCAGGTGGAGGAGGTAAGTTAGGTAGATTGCCAGTGGCTGCGGCGGCCGCGGCAGCAGCAGCTGCTGCAGCGGCGGCAGCTAGGTTATCTCCCAAGTGAGGTTGGAGCAATGCGGCCGCGTGATGACCCCGGAAGTCAAACGCACCTGCTACGGGGTTGGGTGCTGGACCTACAGGTGGGAGGTGCATTGGAGATGATCCATGCGGCCCAAAACTAACTGGGGGTTGGGATTTATCGTGGGCCGCAGCCAATTCAGCGAACGCAGCAGCTGCCAGATTTGCGAATTGTGCCGCTTTGTTCGGATCGCCTTGCATGTTGGCTGGGGCGACAAATTAGAAAAGAATATAGATAAAG